CTGTGACATGTGTGATTGAGAAAGTTGCATGGCTGACAATTGGTCCTATAAATATTCTAAATCTTCTTCTGTCGCAGTTCCAAAAAGAAATTTAGAAAGTTTACCTATCCCTGCGATTATAGCTCGGGGAGAACGACCTCGATGAAGCGAATGTAGGTCTCTCGTGCGTGCGTTTAGTAGGGAGTACTTGTCGGTAAACCATTGCAGGTGACTAACAATCATTGTGTGAAGCTGGTTAGTAAAACGCATTAGTCGATTCTGTCCATCGTTAGTGGGTGGCTGTTTACCATGGTATGGATTTGTGGGTATGGTTAGGTTTACAAGCTCAGTGTGAAGTTTAGTAAGATACTGATCCAGGATGGATGTGTTGACAGTGAAAGCGATGGCCCATGTGCTCTGTGATAGCGCTAGTTTGCCTCTAGGAACGAAGATTGCTCCCTGCGTTGGTTGAATGGTACCCGGTGGTGCAGCCGTAGCGATTATGCTGAGGCTGATGAGTGCTCCACACATACTGCAAGGGAAAGCGTTAAGTGCGTTAGTGTTGTGTAGTGTGGTTAGTCCCTTTTCTGCTTCTGTCGAAGGGTTTCAAGTGGAAGAAGGTCTTCTTCCTCCCATTGTGAGGGCGCGGATTGAGATTCTGCATCGTCGTCGGAGTCTTCGTCCGTAAATGATGCAGGCTGTACTAGGTGTGCTGCTCGTGGGGGTTGAACTCGTGTGCCGACTGCCTGTTTCACAGGTGCTGCTTCATCAGTTACTACGCCGTCCCATGCTCCTTGCGGGAAGGCAGGGCGCAAACTGTCAACATGCACTTCATATGTGCGAGCAGTGTAGACATGCTTAATCCTAAACTTGACTGGCGACAGCTGTTGAACGATGATGAAATACGGTTTCCAATACTTGGCGAACTTCCTTGAAGCCCCAATGGGTACGACTGGGTTGTGCCAGTAAACCGAATCTCCGGGTTCGAAAAGCTGCTCCCTGGCACGTTTATCATACAACTCCTTGTTACGCCTTCGAGTTCGCTGAGTGCGCTCTCTAATAGTTGTGCATGCCTGGTGTAATCTGTCCAACGCAATGGAAACAGGGTCGGTTGCGTAATTGATGTGACGTGGCTGTAGCAACGTATCCAGCGGTAAGACCGCATCGCGTCCGTACGTGAGGAAGAATGGGGTGTGTCCACTGGTGGTGTGTTCCGCGGTCCGATAGGCGAAAAGCACNTGGGTACGGAACCTTGGTTGTGCAGTAACGAATATCCGGGCTTCGAAAGCGCTCCTGGCACGTTTATCATAAAAACTCCTTGTTACGCCTTCGAGTTCGCTGAGTGCCGCTCTTTAATATCTGATGCATGCTGGTGTATCTTGTCAAAGCAATGAAACAGGGGATCCTCGGTTCGCGTAATTGAATGACGTGCTGTGCAAACGTATCAAGTGGTAAGACCCATCGGTACGCTAGGTGAGGAAGAATGGGGTGTGTCACTGGGGTGTGTGTTCGCGGTCGATAGAGGCGAAAAGCACTGAGTGCTAGTTTTTCATCCCCAGTTCTGTGTGGCGGTCGGTCACAAAGACGTAACATCGAGTGGTAACCCGGAGACCACGACCTGAAACGTTCACGATAGTCTGTTGCTAGCACGCCCCCACGTCTGTGGAAAGGGGCTGTCTTCGACCCCTGTGCGCTCTCGGATCGCGAAATACTGTAGAAGATTCCCGCACTACTGACAGCGCCCGCGCGCTCAAACGCGGCGGGCGGCGCATCGCCGCGGTACCCCGCCACGCGACAGACATAATGGCTTACCGCCCTCCGAGGCCAATGGTCACGTGGCACAATTGAAGGCACTTCAGTCCGTGGGCTAGGGTTGAGGGGCGCGATGGGGCTGGGGATGAAACGTTTTGACTATTGAGGTGAGCTATTTTGTGCTTGAGTCTCTGCGTGACTTGTTGCTACGGACCTATGCCTCGGGCTATGAAAGAATAAAGGGTCACGAGGGTGACTATGTGAGCGGTTGCTGATTTCCGGGGAGTTAGCGGGAAGCGCGCCCTCGACAAAGTCTATAGTCGCTACTGTCTTGGTGGTAGCGTGCAGTTGGAGTGGAGCTCATTGACGAGGCTGCCTCGGTATCGGTTTTGGAGCTTGCGCGACGTTGCAAGTTACAACGACGGTGAGCACTACTGAATGTCCGCATCACATGCTACGACTCCAATAGATCCTCTGCTACTTGCGAGTTAATTCCTTGTCGATCCCCAAAATGTCCGAGCCATGATAGAATGCATGTGGCACTCCCCATGAATTGTGTGATCAATGTCTTGGTATTACGACTTGTGCCCGTGGCGGTGCGGGACCCGTATGCTCAGCGAGGTGGGTTATAGTAGCCCACCGTTATGTGGAACTCCACGGTGACAAGTCTGCGTGGGTCGCAGGGCATTCGTCTCGGGAGTTGTAGAATTGCAATATATTCGCCAACTGTATCTCCTCTGCCTGCATCTGTTTGAACTCGGCATGCGACGTGGGCAAGTGCTCTTCCGCATCGTGTGTGGGTACCGTCGTCAATGCCTCCATTGCCGGATGTTGAAGTTTATGGTGCGTCGGGTCTGGCGCACCAATCTGATAGCAGGCAGTATCCATCTATTTTTCTATGTCCAGCTCAGGGCCAGCCGGCCCCCGGCGTTCCATTTCATTATTATTAGTATTATTATTGTTATGCTTCCTTGTATTCCGCATTTTAAGGGTCTTTTTTGTGTGCAAATATTACTGTTCTAAAGCCCAAGGGAATTTCTTACATTCCCCTAAACGCTGCTAACGGCTACATCTTCAACCTACCTACGCTACCCCTTCATTCATCACATTACCGTTACCATTCACATTACCGTTACCATTCACATTACCCTTACATCACATTACCGTTGCTCTTCATACGGAATTTTTTTTTTCACCCTATTTAGTAGAGCAGTCGGAGCTGCAGTGACAATGGGTCATTGTCTTTCCCTGGCGTGGGGGGAAATGTAGCAACGCTAATATCACTCCGCGAACGCATTTAATACCAGCTTACACACAAGCTGAGGTTAGGTTATAACCGGCAGCGGAACATCAACACAAACATAATCTTACACCACCCAGCTGGCAAGGAGACGGATTTATCTGCCGGACACACAAACAACTGGTAAAATTAGTTCCACACGCAATAGATACACACGTAGATAGGCGCAGCTCTGTTGGCATCACTGCCTATAGTACGGATCAACTTTCAACGAATAACAGCTTAGACACACACCTTAGCCGCATCACAACAGTAGTTTGGGTTAGCTGTCGGCGAAGAATACACATACACATTAGCAACGTTGTTTTTACACAGCTACTAAACAGCTGTTCTACACTAACCACACACACACATTAGCGTCATCATAGTCTGTCGTGCTGGTTAGCTGGCAACACATAATATCTTAGATACACACATAAGGGGGTCCGACACTGCCCGGAGAACGGTCAGATGTCGGCCATTTAAATACACACATTAGCCTAAAGTTATTTCTACACAGCTGTTAGATATTTAATTACTGTAAACGATCAACCNTTGAAAGAACTTAAACAACCGAGCTTTTCTTTCCGCATCTTCTATATGTTCAATTAGTGCTGGCAAATTGACATGTGGTGGGGTGGGGTGTGGTGTGGTGGGGTGTGGTGTGGTGGGGTGTACGGTAGTGAATGATAGTGTACATTTGTGATCGGATGATGGTATACAGTGGTGGGTAGTGGCAGTGAATGATGGAATCCTGTGGTAGGGGGTGGCAGCAGGTGATGGCTTGGGGTGGTAGGGGGTGGCAGCAGGTGATGGCTTGGGGTGGTAGGGGGTGGCAGCAGGTGATGGCAGGCGGTGGTGGGGGTTGGCAGCAGATGATGGCAGGCAGTGGTGGGTGTTGGCAGCAGATGTTGGCAGGCAGTGGTGGGTGTTGGCAGCAGATGATGGCAGGCAGTGGTGGGTGTTGGCAGCAGATGTTGGCNTCTTAGTTGCAGGGTTAATGGTCATAATAACTAACGCAACTGCGATGTAGGAATGTAAATGAGTATTTAAGTTATGGCGCTGCAGTCAAGTAAACAATGCTATCTCTATCATTTGTGCTCACTGGCACTAATTTCGAACAAGATTAAGTTGCGAAAATAGTTCCATTATAATTCCATCTTCTACGATAAATGTTTGATATATTTTTTATATTATAAAAATTACAAATTGCAGTGTGAGAGAGATGAAAAATGAGAAATATCCGTAGGTCGCTATAAAATTGGATAATAAAATTCTCAACAAACTAATTTAATCTAATATTCGGAACATGTGTTACCTTGAGAGAAGAGACAGGGTGAAGTTTAACACGCGAAACTAATGATTAAAGTGCACGCACCTAATTCCAGGTAATCAATATAGCAGTTCTGACTATCCAGCGCTATTGAGTCCTGTTTGTAACCAAGAGTGTTATCAAGAATCATTGGGCCGCATGCTGGTACATCAACATCGCTCTAAATACGGCTCGTGGTGCTCCATGACGTTGGCCGTTTCATATCAATAGGCAAGCATCTTAAATGTACACGCGGCAACTCCACATCTCTCCGCGGCTATGTTTTCTCTCGTCTCATATCAATATTTAAAAAAAAAGATGAAGCTTAGCAACCAGCTCCTAGAAGTAACCTCATCCCGATTATAGCATCGCTGTCTGCGCCCGCGATCATACTATATATTTCTACCTACGAAATATGCCATAGGCTAGAACTAATACGCTAAAGAATGAGACAATTCAAACGGCTCCACTGATCTCTTCGACGCCCCACCGCGGCTCGTGATAATATACATTCGATATCAACTGGTTAACGTCTGTTTTACTACATATAAGTCTAGCGGATTGAAATAAAGAAAGTTCAAATAAAGCTAACCCATATCACGTGTCGCTTCTTCCTTTGCATATTTAAATTTTATTCAACTTTCCGATTATCAACGACCTGAACCTGAAAATAAATCGCTAGCACAGCCCAGCCGAGTGCGCCCGGGGCGCCCCGCGTCGCGCGTCACGTATGGTGTAGGTTTTGTCAATTTCGTCAACCATAGTATGTTACCCAATTCGTTTACAATGCGTTACAAACACACACCTATTTCCGCGCCAACCATACACATGTAAACGTCACCAACCATGTATTATACAAAACCTATCTTCCTTTACAGAAAACACGTTAACATATTCCTAGCCTAACAGGTTCCTGCCACCGAAAACGCACAATTCCCCCACACACCTAAAGTTTGCAAATCATACCTATATTGGTCAGCGAACGATACAAGTATGTCAGAAACCATTGGTTTTCCGCCGCAGTGTGGCAACCTACGCAACTAGTCGTGGAGCGATAACGTAGCCTCGGGCGCTATATGGCGCCGCCGATTCCGAACTCCCGCCAAACGGCATCCCCTCCTATTGAGCACGCCTGCGCATGTAAATAGCCGTTAACCGAAATAGTTAATGAATTTACCAAAAATATAGCGCAGCGGTAACGCTCCATATAGGCTAAATATACGTCTTCACCGGGCTATGACGGTAGAAAAGATACAACTTACAATATTTGGGTGCGAACGATTTGATTACATTTCTAGATTCTAGATACATATAAACACATCGGCGTCTAGGCTGGGCGATGCGTGATGCAATGGGGGGGGCTGGGTGGCATGGTGGGCATGGGTCAGGATTGCACAATCAAATGTGGGCTGGTCATGCTATTCGCATATTCGCAAGGCAAAACCATCGTCCTGCTGTAGGTGGCATTTCAAGGCACGTATTCCTCTGATACCACTCGACTAAACTGCCTCTTCGCATAGTTCGTCGATACACAGATCCAATCCACCGCGTGTTTTAACGAGGTAGGCTTAGCCCTTACAATTACTCTTTGTGACGATGTTTGTGTGAGCCCATCCCGAAAAATTTCGACTAATCTCTCTTGAAACGCAGGCTGTGAGGTATGTTTGCTTGGATACGCACACCCTGCAACCTGCTGTAATCGACGAGCATAATCACGTATACTTTCGCCCCGCGTCTGGCAAAACGTTTTTAACATTGATTGTGCTCGCGGGACCTCAGATGGCGACTGGAATTCGCGCTTAATGAGGACGAGTAAATCTGCCCATGTTAACTCAGGCCTTGCTAGTAGCTGCTGTTGGCCGAATCGCGCGGCGTGTCCCGTCAGTGTTGAAAAGGCAGCAGATAGAAACTGTTTATCTGTTAGGTTAAGCTGCAGCTGTGCCCATTGAAGTGCCGCCTCCCACTGAGTGAATGATGTGTCAAGTGGCCCCGCTGCTCCCGAGAATTTTGGCAGTGTGGCTCGAAATTCCGCCGCCCGCATTGATTTGTCTACTGTCTCGCCGAGCGATTCTAAACTTGGACGCAGCGCTTGTCCTAGCATATCTGCTAGTTCATTAACTGTAGGTGGCGGGCAGATCGAAGGTGAAGGTTGAGGTTGAAGGGGGGTTTGCGGTACATTAAAGTGCGTCTCTGATACTGGATTTAAATTCGGCATCGCTTCATATTGAATATCTGATAAATCACCAATCGTCGGCGTCAATTGGTCCATGTTTAAGTAACGTTACAAGAGTCAGAGGCAACAAAGAGCAATCGCATATACTGGTCAACTCACGCGGAAACATAAAATATTAGATACGATTTATAGCAAGAGAAAAAAAAATTTTACCGGCAAAACTGTTGGCTTACCCGAGAAATTGTTGGCTCATCCTCGTGTAGTTTAGTGAAACGGCCGTGATGCGTATAGCGGTTAGCACCCCGCGTTGTTTCGAATCCTGGTCACCGGTAACAATGTAGTCGCTGGGTAATTCTGCTGTCAGACGACTGTGCGCTATAGCTTGCGTGCTATGTATGCGCCGTGTAATTGCTTGACTAAACTTACGAATGTGATAATAAAATGAGAGTAGACTGATGTGGATTACAACTGCCGTTTCACTATTGAATACTTACAAAATCAGTACAAATCACACGGGGTAGACTAGAGGTTTTCAGAAATTCACACAAGTAACACAGGGTAGAACACTGGTTTTAAATTCACATATATCACTTAACACAACAGAGGGGTGAGTACACGAGAGCCCCGTTTCTTCCGCGCGAGCCTTCTTATACTCCCCTTCGTCAATGGAGCCGTGAAACCCTCCCCCAATATGTTTCTCCCTATCACATGCTGGCCTACAGGATAGTAAGAGAGTAGAATTATTGTCTGTGGTCAGTTTGAGCAGATGGATCAAGAAGGAAATGGCCAATGCGAAGTATGAGTGGAAGAAAGGTTCACGAAGCCCCCCCCCGCTTTCCCCTCCCCTCAGTGCATCCGTGTGCTTCAGCGTAAGTGGGAGACGTATCGAACGCATGACGTATGCGCGGTCCCAACACACACACGGCAATTAAACTATTTAACAGCTGTGTAGAAGAACTTACGCTAAATGTTGTGATTTTTTTGCGACATTCTGACCCGAGTATCCGGCGCAGTGTCGGACCTCTAACTGTGTCGCCTAAGCATACTGTTTTGTCATCTACTCCGCAACCGCATAGCCAGTGTGACGTCAACTGTGACTGCAGTGCGAACACGCCTGTTAGGCATCTTTCGTAGTAAACAAACGTGCCTGCACACATGTTATGTTTGTTCTTCCCGACTCAGCTAACTCAACACACACCAAATAACACACACCACAAAAGAAAACCCCCAAAAAAAACAACCCACACACACAATGTCGTGAGCAGATACAAGGTGCCCAACCCTTACCACTTCCCAGCTGTATTACAGAGTTGGGACCACAACACATTCGACCGTGTATCTATTGCCGTAGAATCTAATTTTACAGTTGTTTATATGTCCGGCAGATAAATCGCGTCTCGTTGCAGCTGTGTGGATATAGATTATGTTTAGCTGTGGTTCTGCTGCTGTTATATCGTAATATCAGCCTATGTGCAGCTGTATAAAGGTGTGCTCCATAGGAAAGCGTTCCCAACCTAATGTCATATATATGTCCTGATATATAAAGAGATATAAAGGGGTCGCGAACTCGAACCCCAACGGGGTTAGATCAATGAAAATTAGATATCAAGGGGGGGGTGTGCATCGAGAGAATCCAAGGGGGGGTTTACTATATTAAATAGATATGCCTAATAGGGGGATGCATCGATATCAATACATATCCGAAGTGGGTATACTAGGTTATAATAGAGGAGCAAACCAACGATTGAACCTGGGTATTTTCCTTCGTTTCGGCGGACTCGTTGCCTGGCAAGCGAAATACAGAGTGAGGGGCCATGAGTTTCCTTTCGTTCGCTGGCCCTCCGTCATATCACAGCAAGCGAAATACAGAGCGCCTGCCAATGTTCGTTCGTTTCCCTGACCTTCGAGTTGCCGTCAGCGAAACTACAAGAGGGGCCCCCCCGCATGTTCGCTTCGTTCGGCTGGACTTTCGCAACCACGTGCTGCTGAAGCAAGCGACAATACATCCGCGGAGGGGCCATTTCCTGCTTCGTTCGCTGGACCCTTCGTTGCTCGAGCAAGAGAATACAGAGCCGCACACACTCACACTCCCCGCTACACCCCACTCACGCGCCTGCACCATTCGTTGCTCGATCGCAAGACGCACACACTCACACACACCGGGCCATGTCGCTTCGTTTCGCTGGACTTCAGTTGCTCAGCAACCGAAATACACAGCCGGTCCATGTTCGCGTCGTTCGCCCTGAACTTCGTGCTCCCCCCGAGCAAGTGAAATCCGAGCGGAGCCCTGTCGCTTCGTTTCGCTGACTCGCTGGACTTCTTGCTCGAAGAATCAACATTGAGAGCGTGGAGTAATGTTCGCTCAACCACCACCTTCGTATCCGCTGAACCTCGCATGACTTCGATGCTCCGAGCAACCGCGAACATACCAAGGCGGACACACATCACTACGCTTTTCGCCTGGACATTCGTTAGCTCGCGCAAGGCGAAAATACAAAGCGGTTGGCCATGGTCTTGTATCGTTCGCCTGACACTGCGTCGGCCCAAGAAACAGTCGCAAGCAAAAGCTGGAAAAATCAGCAGACGGCCACTTCCCATGCGCTAATTCCTGTCATCCACGCTGATCTCGGATCACCGCCAGGATAGTGGCGCGGACAAGTACGGTTTCGCTCCAGCCAGGTCTCAGAGTAGCCCGACCAGATTCACTTTGTTCTAATCGTACACGATTTTTTTGCAACCCGCAGTCATACAATTTGCTTCGAGCTTCGAGCAAACGTGAGACTGAGTAATGGATAGTGCTGGGGTTCGCCCCCCCCGCCACGAGGAGGGTCCAGCGAAACGCAAAGCGAACACATCAGCTTTCGCTGGACTCGTCGTTGCTAACGATGATAGTGCTGGCCGCCGCAGGCGAAAATACAGAAAGCGGGGCCATTTCGCTCCGCGGCTCTGTATGATTCCCGCACTTTTTCGCTCTGCGAGGCTTGCTTGTCGGAGCTAAGCAAAATAGACGATGAGCGAGAGTACTGGTGATCGAAGTTCCTAGCCGAGAGAACGAGAAGAGGCGAGAGAGAGGAAACATGGAAGGGAATGAGACGGCTCCGAAATGGACGAGAGAAATACATGAGGGAGATAGAGAGAAACATCGTTAACATGATAAGAGTATACGACGTAGTAGGAGTGCAGAGACGGAATAGATACATACGAGTCAGATACGACAAGAGAGAGACGAGACGGAGAGTTGGCAGATCAGAGAGAGAGTTAAAAGAGATAGAGAGCATAGGGTAGAGTCCAGACTGAGGGAGAGATAGATTCGTAGGAGGTATTATTGCTAGTGTAAAAAGGGGGGTGTAGGAGAAAGAGAGAGGTGTGAGTCCAGAAGGGAGAGAGGAGTGAGGTAGTAGTTGAAGAAGGGAACTGCCATAGATAGAGGGAAGCAAGAAAAGAGAGAGAGAGCAAGAGAGAGGGAGAAAGACGATGTAAAGTGTGAAGAATGAACAGAGAGAAAAGAAGAGAGAGGAGAGAGATAAGAGAGAGCAAGAAGAGACCATAAGCAGAGAGAGAGAGAGACGAGAGACGAGAGAGAATGGTGAATAGAGGAGAGAGTCGAGAGAGAGAAGAGTGAGACGAGGCAGTTTGTTGACAAAATGTTCTATGCCATAATTCTAATCCACTAATGTCGATAAGCGGCTTAGACTACATCACCTTGTACAAGTGTCGGTGACACGCCGCCCAGAGAACGTTCTGTTCTCTCACTCTCTCTTACAATTGCTAATCTGACTATAGCGAACGAAGCCACCTGTTCATCATCTAATTCTGTCACACACTCCGATCGAGCGCGCAAATGAATACCAGTTATTCAACATCACATTACTATAGTCTTACCTCCTGTGTCGCGTGTGTGTCGTGTAATCTGTGTGTGCCTGCGATCGTTCGTCGTAACTCGCTATAAATAACTCATAATTTCATATCTTCCTTAAACCACTTTACTATTTCATTGTCATTTAACACGTATCGTTGACGGTAGGGCACCTAAACACGCAACAAGGCTTATACGTGCATATCGCTGCAATTTGTTTTACATCCGAAATTGGCCAACTAAACCGGCCCCGTCAGCTAAATGGAACCGTGTAATTATTTTTTGACCTTCTTGTTGTTATTATATTATCATGATTTATTGTTTAATTAGATGTTGTGAATGAATTATCTGTAATAATATTTATTTTTTTTAGAGAATAATTAGCGCACGCACACGCTACACATAATTTAATATTTTCGTTACGCGGGGAGCACACATGCAAAACACATCACACATATCATTACGCTAACACAGACCAGACGACATCACACAGCCACAGCCACACATTCTGTTTGTTCTGTTTCATGTAAAAACTGATGAAAATACTCAATAAAGTATCATTTACGGTTTTTTTCAAACCAAGTATATTAAAATTGTAACAAAAGTAAACATATACAGCAACACTATAGTAATACGTACAAAATCGTACAATATCGAAACTATACACACACATGCACATTCCGCGCACGCACCACACTCGTACGCACCACACACACGCGCGCCGCACACATCACAACTAGCACTGCATCAACAATCACGCCGAATATTACAGCCGCACACGACAGCAGCATGGGCATATGCTTGACACTACACAACTGAGTACCAGCACCACAAGCAAGAACAACTACCACATTGCCGCGTGAACACTAAGACACCTATCACAGACTAGTAAGCGGATCACGAAGCTAAGGAATGAGACCGGAATAAACAACATGTTTAACTCCTTTTTGTACTTACATGTTCAACTCCAAGGAGTTGCTACTCGTTGTTGGGCGCACAACACACACACATAAAGGCAACGAAACATTCATAATGAAATAGGCATTCATAAATAAAACATAAAATAATATACATAACTCATAACATTGTTGAATGCATAGGCGTACTAATTTCAGGCTGTATTATAATCGTCGCCGCTATGTATATTTCGCATGCGAACCATGAACGAACGAAGCGAACCTGGCCCGCTCCGTATTCACTTCCATCGAGACCAACGAAGTCCAGCAAAACAAGCGAACCATGGCCTCCGCTCCGTATTTCCTTCCCGAGCACGAAGTTCCGAGCAAACGAAGCGAATGCATGGGCCCGGCTCTCGTATTCATTCTCTCGGCACGAAGTGAGAGCGAGAGCGAAGGCGAACATGGCCCCGCTCCGTAATTTCGCTCTCGAGCAACGAAGTCCACGAAAACGAAAGCAGAACAGCCCGCTCGTTATTCACTCTCGAGGCACGCAGCCACGAAACGAACCGAACATGCCCCGCTCCGTATTCGCTCCTCGAGCAAAACAAGCCAGCGCAAACGAAGGTCGAACATGCCTCGCTCCCGATTTCGCGCTGCTCGATGCAACGGAAGTTCCACGAAAACGAACGAATCATGGCCCGCTCGTATTTCGCTTCTCGAGCAAGCGAAGTCCAGCTAAACTAAGCGAAAACATGGTCCCCGCTCCGTATTTCCTTGCTCGAGCAACGAAGTCCCGCGAAACGAAGGCGAACCATGCCCGCTCCGTATTCGCTTCCCTCGACAACGAAGTCCAGTCGAAACGAAGCGAACATGGCCCCGCCTCGTATTTGGCTGCTCGAGCAACGAATGTCCGGCACGCGAAACGAAGGCGAACATGCCCGCTCCTATTCGCTGCCCGAGCAACGAAGTCCAGCGAAACGAACGAACTAATGGCCCCGCTGCCGTATTTTACGCTTGCTCGAGCAACGAAGTCCACGAAAACGAAGCGAACATGCCCCGCTCGTATTCGCTTCTCGAAGCAAACGAAGTCCAGCGAAACAAACGAACATGGCCCGCTCCGTATATCACTTCTCGAGCAACGAAGTCCAGCGAAACGAAGCGACAGGCCCCGCTCCGTATTTCCGGCTCTCGAGCAACAGAAGTCCAGTGTATCGAGCGAACAGGCCTCGCTCCGATTCGCTTGCTCAGAGCAACGAATCCAAGCGAAAAACGAAGCGACATTGCCTCGCTCCGTACTTTCGCTTGCTCCAGCAACGAAGTCCCAGCGAAATCGAAGCGAACAGGTCCCGGGCTCCTATTTCGCTCGCTCGAGCACGAAGCCAGCAAACGGAGCGAGACATGGCCGCTCCGCTCCGTTATTCCGGCTTCTCGAGCCAACGAAGTCCAGCGAAACGAAGCGAACATGGGC